ATTCTAATTATAGTAATAATAGCATTCACATCACAGATTATTAGATTGTAAACCATAATTAGTTCTAAACTGCTTCCTTTTTATTTTCTGCATTTATTATCTGTGGAGCAGAAATACCACACATTGTGTTTACACATTAGCCAGCAGTATGCAGCTGGGGGCTGGACTGCAGCTGTGACCAGGTGAGAGGCACTGGGCATCACAGAGACAGAAAAATGTCAGCAGGAAAAGTGGGGGAAGGGACTCACATTCTTCCTTTGAGTCAAAATACTTGATCAGGTGAACTTTTACCCAAATTGGATGATTTTTTTTCTGACACCAATTATATGATGTCATTTTTAATACCTACAGCAAATCTCTAACCCAGCTGGATATCCATTTAATTCGATTTTGATATTGTCCATCTTGAGTTAATATCTGAATCCACAAGCTCAAGGTCTGTATCCCAGGAGGCTGTTCTTCCATCAGAAACATGTTGCAAATGTGTTGCCCTGGATACCCATACCCATCACAGTGCTTCTAACCCAAGGGTTCTACAGCCTTGGCGAGCAGGTACACATTTACTGGTCTTTGCTCTAAAGGATGTTGCTCAGAACCAGGTGTGGAAGAGGCACCAGGGCAGGAATTGAGGGAGGAGTTACCCTGATCCTCAGGACTTGCCACACTTCTGTGCACTCGTGTGTGTGTGTTTACCTGGAGCTTCCCTAAGCCCTGTACAGAAGTTTTTCTCCCTCGGTCTCCAACCCCATCTCTCAACTCTGGACTTAAGTATGAGATAGAGTTCATCATCCCCCACTCACTAGTCAGGCAGTTTGTCCTTATGGAGTCTGGCTTTCTTCCTGAAACTGTGAGAGGAGGTCCAACCCCAAAGCTGCTACATTAGCATAAACTCAGATACGGTCCAAAGGATGATTTTAGCAAAAGATATTCCTGTCACTCAGTAAGTTTCATGAGTTTAAGGAGCTCTATACAAAGAAAACCAAATATATTTCTCATTACTTTGCAGTATATTTTGAAAGGAAACAAAACTATTTTTGTTCTAAAAGATTTCTACTTTTTGAGAATTTCATGCATTAGTATTGTGTATTTATATCATTTCAAACTCTCCCTCTTCCAACTTTTCCTGTGTCCTTATTCACTCCTCTTCAAATTACTGATGTCTTATACTTTAATTATTACAAATACACAGACATACCAAAGAGACAGAGGGAGTGAAGGAGAGAGGGAGAGCGTGCACAAATATGAGCCTTATGAGGTTCCATTTATTGTTGCTCATCTGTGTATGTGTGTTTAGAGATGACCACAGGAGATTAGGTAACCTATCAGGTAGCTGGTGCTTGTAGAAGATTGACTTTTCTCTCAGTGGAATGGGGCTTTGTGAGATTTCCCCATCCATGTTGGCATGCCAACAAGAGCTGCAAACATGTATGCTCCATCTTCATGGTCCCTGAACCTTAGATATATAGATTGTGTTGATACAGGGATTTTGTTGTAGGTGAATCCACTGGGGTTAGGAACACCACCAACAGTTTTTTTTCTGCATTTCTTTAATGATCTCTGTCTGCTTCATAAAGAAGGTTATTTGATGAGGGATGAGAGCTACACTTATCTGTGAGTATAAGTATCTAGAATGGAACTAGAAACTGTGGCAGTTTAGACAAGTGGCAGTGGTAGGTTCTTCTTTAGGGTCCATGATCTCACTAGCCATTGGGTAGCTGGCTAGATTTACAGTATCGGACATGAATTTCCTCCTATTAAATGGGCCTTTAGTCTAATTGTAGAGCCTGCGGTTACTCCCAAGATATGAGAGCCACTATTTTACCTTCAAGGGCTATCTTGCCTTGCTGGTTATTATTGTGGTTCCCAGGCTCTAAACCTTGGTAGGACTATTGACTGTTTTTAGTCCTTGGTAGTTTTCATAGCACCTTCATATATTTTGAGAGCTAGGCATTAAAGAGACAGCTTCCAGGCTGCTTCTAGCTCGATTCCTCTAAGTTCTATGTCCAACCAAAGTGTGTGGTATCTTCTGAATTACGTTTTACCTTCAAGTTCTGGGAGGCAACCAAGAGCAACATCAATAATCTATATTGTTTTGGCATTCGTGGACTCCTTTGACCAAGAACTGGAAGAGAGGATACTTCACCTGTTCTTTCCAACCCTGTTTTCATGCCATGCATACACACACACACACACACACACACACACACCAAATTTAAATTAAAGTTTTCTGAAAACTCAAGACATGTTCATAGCGGACCCAGGTGTTGGAATTGTATAAGGGTCTGCACAATGGTACATGACATACATTCTATATCACCACCTCCCCTTTCCTCTTGACCTTACAGCTTGCACACTCTTCATTCTAGGCACTGTTAAGGAATATCTCTGCTGGTTCAGTCATGTGGTTTCTCAGGGGCTGACATGTTGAAAGGTTGCTATCCATGGAGAGATATACCTTGGACTCCTATTCCTATAGACCAAAGATCTAAGTGGCAGGGAATGGTTTGAGAACACACATCCATTTCTTCTAAAGCCTAACTACAAAAGCCTCATTCTAAATTTTTTTTCTAGGAAGTTCCCAATAGGCTCCCATGTTCTGTTAGCATTCTCTACTGCATCCACCATGCTTTTTACACCATTGTTTGTTCCTCAGACATTGGAGATGCTGTAGCCCTTTGTCATGTAGTGTTCTGTAAAATGAAAGCATTGCTTTCTAAGTCTATCATTTGTTGCTTGCCTATAAAAACTGCATGATTTTGTCCTGTTGCTGAAGGCATGGCCCCATTTTACCCTTATTTTATCCTGAGAGGATGTGTACACATAGGAAATCGCAGCTCAGAGAAGATAATTCAGCCTCCTGGTTTCTCACAGCAAATCTCACAGTCCAGGTTTGTCTGGTTCCAAAGTTTCTTGCAGCCATTCCTTCCTACCAGTTGCTAGGTCAGGTTGTTTTCCACATTAGAGAAAATAGCATGCACAGATCAGTGCCTTCAGAGACTGCATCTGGTCTGTGTTGTTATGTCTGAAGGCTTGTAGTTCAGAGACATTGCTTTAGAAGAACCAATCCTGAGGCATCCAAGAGGTTCATTTACTTAAGGTCTGATGACACAATCGAGTCTTGACTCAATGACCAACTTAAATCCAGAGCAGTCAGAGCTTTCTTCTGTGTCATTGCATTGACAAATTTGGATTGTGGTGAGGCAGAAGGCACACATACAGTGTTGAGCAGGCAGAATAGCAGTGATGTCACCTGCCACAAGGCAATGAAGCACCCACAGCTGAGTGTGCCCAGAAGCTAGGGGATGTGGGGAAAGATGGGAGGTGTGAGGCAGCTCCGATATGCTACTACTAAGTGGTCTTAAGTTTGAATAACCAGATGATCCCATTCCTTGACTTCCCCACTCATCCACCTATCATGTCATCAGACTTAGGAGATGGGTCCTTGTCTGCCATGCCAGCATGCCTTCAAGGGTAGTTCTTGGAACCCAGCCTCTATGGGCACAATATTGGTTACTGTGATTGACTCAGAGCAACATTCCAGGGTTAAGAATAAGATGGAAGTGTTTTGACATGGAAGCAGGGGAGAGAATTGAAGGGGAACATAGAGCTAAGCATATCCAGATGGAGCCGGCTGTTACAAACATGGTCCACCAAACCACTTGAATGAGCCAGAACGTCCTCAATGTTCCACTCCCCATAAATCTCATCAGCTGTGGACCCTATAGGACAGATGTTGATGTTCCAGTTAGTTTAATATCCTTGTTTGCTGAGGTCCCCAGTTTTGAATGGCGTTGTTCTCTGACTTTAGATTATTCCACTTCCGAAGACAACTTTTAGGACACTGTGGGTCCTCCAGAGGATGGCCAGACCTTTGAGACCTGTCCATGGATTTTTGTTGCCAGAATCAGAAGCTGTAGACTCAGAACACTCATTTGTATATTCCAAGTCCAGTAGCTCTGACAGTTTGGTTGCTTCCACTTGAGTATTGTTTTATAACTTTACAACACATGTGGTCAGAAATCAAGTGGAGATTGCTATACAACTGAAGCATTTCTATGTCTCTTAGCGTAAATATGTGGATAAGTTTCAGGGCACAAATGAGAATGTGTTTCATTATGGAAGACACTCTGGTTCCAGATGGAGGTCTAGCACTCCAAACCTTCCTAAATCCTGGGAAGTCTGGATCTTTCCATATGAATGTCAGTAGCAACACATTAAGTTGATGGGTCCTTTGCTGCCAGGCCTGAGATGTAGGGCTGATTGCCTGTTGGTAGTGGGAAGACTCTATGGTGATATCTCTGCCATCTTGGCCCTGGGAATGGCTGGAGGTACCTGATTATCGGAGAAAGGACTGTAGGCCTTTGTGGGGTTGGAGATCACTCAGGAGGGCCTGACCCTGAGTTACTGTATTCATTGCTATACTCACGAGTCCTCACCCCTATGTCGGTGTTCTGTTGCTGAGGCCCAGGGTTTGAGACGTCTGCTTATACTATCAAAAGCACTGTATAAGGCAAAATCAAAAATCATATTTAAGTGTACCCTCAGTTCTGAGAGGTTCTGCTTTATGGAAACAAATGGCTGGCATTTCTATAGTTTGGTTTTGATTCCAGTTGCAATAAATGAATTTATGCTTTTTCAAAATGCCCTTTCAGGGAAATCTTGGAAAGCAGAGCCATTATTCATTTGGCTAGAAGTAACCAGTCCATTGGGGGAGGAGAAGCCTAAGGCTAGAGGTGTGCAGTGAGTTGAAATTGGCTTTAATGCCATCATACGAACATGGTTATGGTGACAGCAGGTCCCCAAATGTGATTTGTTATGCTAGTCTGGATCATTTTAGAAGGGATTATTTAATTCCCAGTTTTCTCACACTTTATAGATAACAACTTAGTCATGGAATAATGTCCAAACTCTTTTTTGACTTTGAACTTTCCTAATAATTTCTTACAAGAAATAGAAGTAAACCAGGGAAGAAATTGCCACTAATTCTCTATCTTTGTCAGTCTTGGACAGATCACTATTTGCAGTGGAACATGTCTGAGTACCCTGGAGTGAAGAACGTTCGTTTTCCAGATGGCCAGATTTGGAAACCAGACATTCTCCTCTATAACAGGTAAGCACTCCTGACAGATGGGAAATGATCTTCATTTGTATGCATGTGGCGATAAAGCATATTTGAGCATTTTACAGAAAAGCTGGCTGTGTTATCTTTAATTTGGAACCATTGGTCCTTTTGGGGCTTTCCAAGTGGGCAGATCTCTGGGAGGCTGCTCTATGCCTCTGCTGGTATTTGCATCTAAGTTCAGGTTGTCTCCCCTGCTGCTAGAAGTGTTCCATTCCAAGGGACTGCACTATAACCACTAGAGATACGTAAGATTGTTCCCCACTTATAGGAATGTAAAACATTCTTAAGGAAATAACTTTGCTGTCTCTGAATGGCCACCATTGTACTGCACAGCAGAAGGTGCCAGAGAGCTTGTGCATTGGAAATTACCGTTTAGACTTAGGTTCTCATCTGACTTGTTCCCCATTGCACACTGGGTATCTGTTGGATTTTGGCCAAGATCTGCAGAACATGCTTATCAGAGAAGCATGTGCACAGGCTGAAGAAGATCTGTAAGAGACAGCTAATATGGATGACAGTCATGTTTTTATATTAGGAGCAAAAGATAAAGGGATTCATTTGTAATTCAAGGAAATGTGATTTGCAGACACGATGGCCAAAGAAGTAAGTTTTAGGCAGTTTTAAGTTCTAGAAGTGGCAAATTCCTTGTCGTGGCCATGTAGACTTAGTAAGAAAGTTTCAAACATCTCTGTTCTAAACAGGATGATCAATATGATGTCATGCAAAGAGGAAGGTAATGAGAGATCATTGTTTTTTTGTTCCTGTCTTTGGAAAGCGAGGAACACAGGTGTTCCTGACTCATAGTGCTGTGACTGTCCACCACTGCTCAGTGATTCCTCAGAGAATGTCTAGGGCAGCTGATTTGTTCTACTTGCTATTTCCAAACCCTGAGCAGTTCGGTCTCTTATATTCACATTTAATTGCTTTCCACCTTTCCCTTGGATGGCTGAATGTGCCTCTAGAAGAAAAGCACCTCCTCGTTTGCTACCATTGTCAGCTTCTTAAAGGAAGTTCAGATAACTGAGCTACTGGGATGTCCAAGTTCAGAATGATTCATCCTTTATTGAGTGGTTGAAACAGCTGAACTTTGGGTCATCCATTTCCTGGAGAATGCACTGAAATTCTGGGTCTGCTGTAGAACAGCACCACCGGCCACTGTCTTAAACAGCAGACATATGTGTGCTCATGGTTTTGGAGGATAGATAAGTGAGCTGTAGATGTAGCCAGGCTTGGCTTCTGTTTCTTTCTACTGGGATTATAAGTATCAGCCTTCTCACTGTGCTATCTGGTATCCTATTGTCTTGCCAGAACACTAGTCTAATGACTTCCTTAACTTTAAATACTATGCATATGAGTGTGTGTGTGTGTGTGTGCATGTGAGTGTGTGTGTGTTGAGCTTTTGCTATATAGTAAAAGCTAGCCTGGAACCTCTGACCTTCTATTTTTTACATACTGGGCTTCCAAGCATTCAACACCATACTTAACTCTTTAATTGACTCTTTTCTGGGCCTGTCTCTAAATGCAGTCACATTTTCATGTGCTAGGGTTTAGAATTTAAATGTAAAAACGTGTGAAGAAACAATTTAGCTTTGTAAGGAAATTTCTGTGGTACATGCGGCATACCTAGTGGTGTCCTTGGCAAAGTGGGGGGGGGCATCAAGTGCCAACATTCAGTGGTAGTTGTGTATTTATTTGTGGGAGGAGAACGATGTCACCTATCAATTAAGAACTGTGTTTCTTAGTTCCTGAAAGTATGTATATGTTTTTTAATGTGGTAGAATTTTAATAATGAGGCAATGAAAGATGGTTTTATGGCTGTGTGTAAGACTATTAGCTCTAAAACATGAAATGTTTGATGATCTCAAACTTCTGGCTAATAGAGAGTTACTGATTATTCTATATAATTACTTTTTTTTTTTTTGGTTTGGTTTTTCGAGACTGGGTTTCTCTGTGTAGCCCTGGCTGTCCTGGAACTCACTCTGTAGACCAGGGTAGCCTCAAACTCTCGAACTCAGAAATCCACCTGCCTCTGCCTCGCAAGTGCTGGGATTAAAGGCATGCGTCACCACCACCTGGCTATATAATTACTTTCAAGGATCATGGATAGAACTGCTTCCACTTGACATATGGCACCAGGCTGTAGGAATGTGCCCCCTATGGAACATAAACCATGGTCTAGGGTCCTGCTTGCATATCATCCTTCAGCAGCTTCCCTGTAATTTTCTCCATGTGCCTGTTGATCATATCACCAGTGTCCCGCATGGAGCTGAGAAGGGCCACCTCATTGTTTTCTTTACTTTTTCTAAGCAATCAATGTTATTGTTTGAATCTGAAATCCCCAACACGGGCTCATATTTTGAAGATTTGATCTACAGCTGGTCGTCGGGTTATGGGAAATTCTGAAAACTTTGAGAAGTGAGCCTAGCTAGAAGAAATACGTCACTGGGAGGAGGGGTCCTTCAGGGTATACTATCTCTCATGATGTCCTGCCCACCACCTTTGATATCTGGTACCCTGTAACATGAACCTCTGTCTTCGACCAGAAGCTCCTGAAACCATGATGTTCTGTTGAGTCTTTTTGGCCCATACAGCCATGAAGTAAACCTTCTGAGACAATGAGCCAAAAGAAATAGCTCCTTCCTTAAGTTGTTTCAGGCCTTTTGTCCAGACCATCAGAAAAGTAACTAGCTCAGTGGCACATACAAGTTCTGTGATAAATCAGTTGCTAGCTGTCTTTTATACTCAAAATATACAATGCACAGATTACAGAGACTTTTATTTAAGCCAGACATAGACTTGTGTCATTTTTCTATTGCCACAATACAAACTACCTTAAATTGAGTGGCTTGAAAAAAAATCTCAGACTCATATTTCACTATTCTGTGTGATGCTTTGTCCTGACCAAACCAATCTGCTTACATGTCTGCTGCATATGGGATTGGCATACTACAGTTACTGGGGCAGAGGGACATATCCAGTGATGGACACACTGGGCTGCTGGCAAGGATGACAGCCATGGCTGAGGACCACACCACCTTTGTTTTATTCGTCAGTCCTTTTACCCGGGTCTAGGTATCCCCAGTTTGATGGCTAGGGGGTATTCTAACAAGAAATCGGTGGGGGCTGCCATGCATCTAAGACTGAGCACGGAACTCCCATAGCAGTCACTCACTTTATTGCATTGCTCAGAATAGACGGCAGCTCAGCTTATTCTTGTCCTTTGTCCACAAATCTTCAAACTTGCAGAGTTTTACCCATTTTCCTCTTTTCATGTGTTACGGAATATTCTTCTGAGTTCACTATCCTTCTCCCCTTCCTTTATACTCAAGAGGAATGGACTGATTTCACTTCCCTTGACTATTTTCCACAAATTGTCCTTTTTTTATCTTCACCTATGTAATGTAGCATGTGTGCCACTTTCAATAAATGTATACATACATACATACATACATACATACATACGCACATTGCAAAAAAGAAGGACAAAAGATTAAAATAAAGGAAAGAAATCATGTTGGCAACTCAGAAAACAAGTGAAAGAGTCAAAAAGTCAACACCAGAGACAGCAAGCACAGGCTTGTCTTTGGTAAATCCTTACCTTTAAGTATTCTATACTGGGTGATTTTGAGAAAGGTAAGCTTAATACTTTCTGTCTGTTTCAGGCACTCAGAATACTATGTTCTGCCCATAGACATACTGTGGTCCATCCACACATGGATGAAGGTGTTGGGGCTGTTCCCAAAGAAAGAAGTTAAGATGTCATTCTTGAAGATAATGTTAGAGCATCTGGAGATGTCTTGCAACCATAGTGAATTTTGTGTAACGCTATGGTTTTGAGATCCAATGCATTTTTTCCATGATTTAAGAGGCTGGTGGCTCACTGTAAAATAGATATCTCTGCACCATTTCTAGAATGGGCAGATGCATTTTCTTGATGGATGAGGAACCAGGTATGTGCTACCAGCCAGCTGGACTGCTGTGAGGAGAGGATGGGTGTTAATAAGAGCTCTGCCTGATGCTGATTCCAGTAGTTTCTCCTTCACTTTATCCTGCTTCACTTGGGGCCGTCAGCTCAAAATTTTTTCTGAACACAATCTAGCTCAAAATAAGCTAGACAATCACAGATGCCTTGTCACACTTTCCCCTTTTTGGGTGGTGTTAAATGTGTTTCTGGGGCCAGTAGTCATTTCTCCAAAGGGAATTCTGTATTGTGACGTAGAAGTGGGCTCTGCAACTGCAAACAAATGTCTTGGCCTACCTAGAAATCTTCTGTATTTTAGTTGCCTAGTAAGGGAAAAAGTTTAGTAATAATGGGAAATTTTTAATGAGTATATTTAAAGATGTGTTTGATAGGTCTGATTTTGAGAGCAGCACTTGTAGTCGGGCATCTCTTTCAGATACTGTGAAGAGCTTTGTTTGTACATCTGTAGGCAAATATCTTTCTTCCATTGTCCCTGGGACCTATTAGTTGATGACAACCTTATAGAGATGACTGTGTCCAACCTGTTATGGTGCCTCATAGTGCCAACAAGTGACACATCGTTGAAACAGAATGTTCCCCCCCTGTGAAGAGTCTCATATTCTTCTAGAATGAACTGAAGATTAGAATGTCAGCGCATGTGGTTTATTAGGGAAGTGATACCAAGAAGTTCTAGGTAGGAGGAGAAGCATAACGGGAAAGGGTGGTGAAAGCAGGCATCAGTGTGGCAGCTGGGCTGTGCCCACTAGGAGATGTCATGTGACCATCTCACATTGCTCTGGGAAACCTAGGACTAGGGTTTATACAAAACTGCTAGCTTCCTTGAACCTATTACCAACCTGTTCCAATACATGAACTAGAAAGCCTCTAGAGAGGCAGCTGTCAAGACCTTGGATGTAGGAAATATAGTTGTCAATGTTGATTTTCCAATTCTACTCTAAAGGTCCACCCCTACATCGCCCAGCATGATTATAGACCTAAACTTGGCTTCCAGTGGGGATCACAGCAGCAGAGTGAAGCACTGTGAATGGCAAGGAATCCTCTTAGGACAGGCTTCTTTGAGTAGGCTGGGTGTTCTCAGGTAGGCAATGCACAAGGGAGGTAGCACAAGGGAGGTAGCAGAGAGAACTGGAAGCCCAGGTTTGTATCTTAGTAGGTGATACCTATCCCACCATGGGGTGGAGTGTGTTCATAGAAGTTCCACATGGGTTTATAAGTGAAATGGGATCTCAGGGAGTACCACTTAGTGTTATGAGAATTCATACCTCTGAAATCATGGTACTTGTGAATAGAACTGAGGTTGGTCCATTAGTGAATAAAGCCCTGCAGTTAAGGTTGGGACCTAATAGGGCCAAGGACATATCTCAGTAATTACCAGGATAGTTCTGGGATGCAGCAGAAATCTCCTGGTTTTGCCACTGGGACTTTGAGAAGGAAGCTTAGTGTTATGGTGTTGGGAGTTTCTGCCTAATCAAATATTCCCATCTAATAGGGGTGGTGCTCTTTTTAAACCGTGTGTGTAGGAAGCAGTGGCATGTTTTACAGAGGTGAGGGGAGCTAGTCAGTCTATATTTGCACCTCCAGGCTCATTTTCCAAAAGGTCTATCATGACGTTCCCTGGCGGCTGGTACTGTTTGTTTTTCATTTGTTGACTTGTTCAACCAATATTGAATGAAGGTCCCACACTGCCATCACACATTATGTGATACACTGAGGATGCAGTATTGTCAAGCCAGATTAAGTCCCTGTCCCATAGAGAAAGGTGGAGAGCATGTGATAGACTGTAGGTGCTCCCAGAAAGTCAGCAAGGACAATTGGACTGGAGTCAGAGGCAGGAGAGGAACTTTCTCAATAGTGTGTCCTGTGGTGTCAAGGAGAGGAAAAGGTAAAGCAGTAGGGCAAAGGCCTGTCCATAGTGCTCCTGAGAGATATACAAAGGTGTTGGGCTGCCTCTCTCCCTAGCCGCTGGGGTGCCCTATTGCCACTAGGAAGCCACTCGAGGGAGGTAGAACACAGTTCATGATATGAGAGTACACCAAGGTGTTTCCCCAAGTGAGAAACAGCAGGATCTGGGATAGATGGTGTGATTCCCTGCCTCCTGTGTATCCTGACACTGCTAGGGATCTCAGGCAGTTGGGAACAGGAGTCCCTGGGTATGTGCCAGGCAGGGATGGATTGGAATCCAGTTTGATTCCAAGCAAGTGCAGAGAGTACAGAGGGGCTGGAAGAAAGAAGGCCTTCTTTAGGAGGAGACTTAGGTGAGGCTCTTTACAGTGAAGCCCTCCCCAAACCCTACTCCCAACCCCAGCGGCAATCCTTGATAAAGGAGATGGTCCTTGCTTATCCAAATTGCTTTATTTGATAGTGAATGTGAAAGCATACATCTTACTCAGTGTGAACCAGGGATTAAATACCTTTTGCAGGAAGGGATGCCCAGGAAGAGAAGCTTGTTGGCCAAACACTCAGGGCTTATTTAGATATCTCATGAGCATGGAGTTTTTATGCTATGTGTCTTGTTGTCATGGTTCTCTCAGTGGGGTGTCATGGTTACATGCTCCAGATCAGGTCTTTGGCAGGAAGCTGGCCTCATGCTTACCATTCTCAATTCTGAAATTTCCCTGGGGTTTAGGCTTACTCAACCTTACCAGTTCTTATGTCTGGTGGCACAGTCCATGTGCCCCACATAAAGGAGGCTGAGATACCCAGGGGCTATTGATAGCTCCTCTTGGTGTGCTCCCTGAACCAGCTGGCTCTCTGCTTCTGCAATGGACTGTGCCTGTTATTGTCTGAATACTGTCAACTCTGGAAGTTCTGGAAAACTGATAGCAAAACAAATGATTGTATTCCATGGGAAAGCATATGGATTCTGTGTGGTGAGTGACTTTCTCTCTTCACAGGTCAAGTGAGACTTCTCGGATGGCTGTGCATATGTCTCCTTTCTGGATGCATCTCAGAATTGTTTGCTATGCCTTGCTGTTTGCTTGGCAATGAATGACTTAAAAGTCCTCTTTGACAAATGTCTCATTTATATTTCTGCAAGTATCATCATTTTTTTAAAAAGAAAAATGTATCTATTTTTATGACCCTGAGACAAGAACATGTCCCTGAATCCATTATAGGAATAAAAAGGACCTGCATGGCTAAAAGAATTGGGTGGCAGGATAAGGTCAGCAACTGGAGAGAGAGTTAGGAACAGGGTGGAGAATGAGGACCCCAGGTCGGGGGCCTGACTGTGTGAATGAAATGAAATTGTCTGATCTTTTTTTTTAATGGAATTTCTGTTTCATTTCTCTTTTGCTCTGAATAATTTACAAGGGCCTTTTCATAGTTTCCTTCCCTCTTGCTAACAACTGGTAGCCATCAGGTGTCCTTGTGCAGAAGTTACTTTGTGTTCTTTTGCACGGTACACACATCCTGCTCGTGGCAGTAAGCCTATGTTATTTCTCTTGATTCTCTCAGTAACTTGGAGAAAAGGAAGGAGGCATATTGGTGGCATTGCCATGTGCCACTGTGAGTCCAGCTAGTTCAGGCTGCCTGGAAACTGCTGTGTCTGCTACTAGTACCTGTTACTATGTGACTCTTAGCCTACGGTGTTTTGCACCTTCTGTAAAAGTTCGAGTGGTATCAGCTGAGCTTAAGTTGTCTTGACTTGTTACTTCAACATACTGGAGCCTAGTCTTGTCTACTGGGTACTTGCTTGGTGCCAGGGCTTTTTGTCCTTCCTAGACTATGAAGTTGGCATGCTCATACATACTCCTCAAAAGCAGAAACTGGTACACGGAGATGATTGGTCCTTTGCCTACAGTCACACAGCTAGCTCTCTGGTCGTATATCATCTGATTTACCTGTTCATGCCTCTGGTCCTGTCTAAAAGTGCATGTTTTAGTGCATGTAAAGTTTTAGAACTCCTGGGTTTTACATTTTTATGAGTCAAGTTGTACGGTAAGGAGAATATTGATTATGACAATATATTTAGCTATTTTTTTGTCATTGTAACAAATTGTCTCAGTTATTTTTCTATTGCTATAATAAGACACCATGACAAAACCAACTTACAGAAGAAAGAGTTTGTTTGGAGCTCACAATTGCATAGAGTTCGAGTCCATGACCATCAGGGCAGGGTGCTTGAGCAGTAGCTAAGAATTCATACTTTCAAATATAACCACAAGGTAGATCTAACTGGGACCAGGTGCTTTTATGAAACTTCAAAGCCAGCCGCCAGTAACACACCTGCTCCAACAAGGTCACATCTCCTAATCCTTCTCAAACAGATCCACCCACTGGGAACCAAGAATTCAAATATATGAGCCTATAGAAGCCATTCTCGTTTAAACTACCACACACATGTATACACAACTTTCAAAAAATGCCAGATTTATTTTTGGCTCATGGAATTAGAGGTTTCTGTCCATGACCAGTTGATGTCATTCCATTGGGCTTATGATGGCACACATCTTGGTGATAACATGGAGAGTCCCATAGTCATTCTTAGGTGCAAGTTACAGTACCTAAAACTTTGCAATAGGACCCACCTTTTAAAACATGTCCATCTCCTCTCATTGATACAACAAAGACTTCAACTAATGGGATTGGGGAGGGGTATTTATATTCAAACAAAAGCTGTACATTTCAAGAAAGTTGGAACAAAGGATTATAGATATTTTCCACACAAAGTAAAAGAATGTTGAGATGATAATGATGCTTACTCTGATTTTAACATTCTATAGTGAATACATGCATCATCATAGTGCATGGTACCATATAAATGTGTATGGTTTTGATGTATCAAGTCAAAATCAGAAGTAAAAGCAGACTGTGTGCTCTTTCCTCTAAGCGGTGTTCATGCTCACATCTTCCCTGGACAGCTCTGCCTGCCTCAGCTTTCCTCTCATTCTAGGAAAGGAGTGTCATCTCTTTCTTAGCTGCTATGAAATTTCCACACTGCCCCCAACTAAGCATGCTTCTTTGTCTAGAGATGGGGATTTACTTTATTCCTGAGCTGGTGTGGGACTACCACAACTGTCACTTCATAATGAGTTTTACTCTGTATTGGATGCCCAGCTTGTTTTTGACCCAATCCCTAAATTAACTACTGCAGAAGCATTCCTGTGATGGAACTTGAGGTGAAAAGTTCCAATTACCCTGTGAGAGTTTGAGCAGAATTTCCAACAGAGGCGAAGCTACTCCCTTAATGACTAAAATAAGACTGTCTTGGATGTGACATCAGCCAAGTACGTGGAATCTTCCCTGTGCTCCTGTACCTTAGAGGCCGAAGCCAATCATGCCCAACAGTGTGGCTGTTTGAGGTACGCTTTGGACACAGCAGTGGGACTGTGAAGTCTATATAATAAATATTTCACAGGAACTCAATGGGAAGGTTTTGTTTTTGTTTTTTTAACATCATAAGCTGCCTAAGAAAAGAGGAGTGAATAACATACGAAAGGCTAATATCAGCTGGAGTTTGCTCTAACCCAGCTTGTGGGAATTTGCACCCATTCCCACTGCTCCTCAAGAAGTGATCTATACATACATTACCCACATAGAAGGGAAAGGGAGCATTGGGCCACAGGGCTGCAGCTGCAGAGGGAACAGGCTCACCCAACCTTAGGATTTCAGCTGCACCATCGGAGGTAGTGCAAGGTGATATGTCCTGTGGTGTGCTTCACACATTTAGGTATTTTACATTTCCTAGACATTGCAAATAAACATGACTAAGCGAGTATATCTAGAGTATCCTTTGAGTATATATGCCAAGGAGTGGTAAAGCTGGGTTGTGAGGTCAATCTACTTTTAGGGTTTTCAGAACTTTCCACACTAATTTCAATAGTGACTCCACCAATTTTCAAGCTGTTAAGTGTAGCAATGTTTTTCATATATATACATATATATACACATATATGTGTATATATACACACATATATGTATATATGTATATATGTACATGTGCATGTACATATATACATATACAAATAAACATATATATCCCATCACTGTGTTCCTACTATCTGCTCCAATGTTCTGGGTTCCCAAATGAAAAATACATATCCAGTCTTTGTATTTTGATATGCCTTAATCAGTGCAGTAGCTGGGCCACTTCCTAACCTCCATGCGGTTAATCCACCTCCCACAGCTAATCCTGAATTATCACTTACTAAATTCTGTATTCTGCTTTAGCTGCCCTGGACCCAGTTGGGCACCCCTTTTGGACTGCACTCTCCTGATTCCTACATGGTGGTTATGCCTCCCTGTCGTCCACTCTTATCCAGCATGGTGGTTCCTCTCCCCCACCTCTCCCAGCAGTGCTGCTGCTACTGCTGCTGCTGTTGCTTCTTCTCCTCTTCCTCCTCCTCCTCCTCCTCCTCCTCCTGCTCCTCCTCTTTCTTCCTCCCTCTCCCTCTCCCTCTCTCCTTCCTCTTCCCCCTCTCTCCCTCCCTCCTTCCTCTTCCCCCTCTCTCCCTCCCTCCCCCTCTCTCTTTTTCTCCCAAGCATATTGTAAATGTATTTTCTCTCCTTTTTTAGACTTTTTCTCTGTCTATGAGTGTGTCTGTGTGTGTGTGTGTGTGTGCGTGTGTGTGTATTGTATGTGGGAGTGTTTCACAATATCTTTCTCAACATGCTTATTATTTATACTTAACAAGGATACTGATTTTGTTCCCTACTAATTTGCTTAAACTGTTGATCTTTTCTAGAAGTTTTTTCCTTTTATTGAAACTAGATTTTTTTTTACATAATATATCCCAATTATCATTTTCCAGAAGAGATTTTATATCACTTTTGTATCTTATATAGAATATCACATTTTATACCAATAGAGAGACTTTAACTTCCTCTTTCCCTCTGTGTATCCCTTTAGTTTCTTCTGTTGTCTTATTACCCCAGCTAGGGTTCTAGTCACTCTCTTAATCAGGAGTAAGGAGAGTGGACTAGTCTGTCTCACTACTGATTTCTGTGGGATTGCTTCTTCCTTTCTGTTAGGATGATGTTAGCTGTGGGTTTTTCAAATGTAGCTTTACATTAAGCTATGTTCCCTCCAGTACTAGGCTTTTATCTTGAAGCCATATTGGTTTGTGTCAAAGGCTCTTTGGCATATATTTAAATGATCATGTGTTATTTATATGCTGTATTAAATTTATTGACCTGTTAAACAAATCTTGCATCTATTAGATAAAGGCAACTTGATTGTGTTGGGTGGATTTTTAAGAATGTACTCATTTTTAATTTGCAAGTTTTCATCAATAATTTTTATATCTGTATTCAT